TAGTTATCTTGAACCAAGAAGTATCTGAGCTCTACCAGCATGTAGCATGTTCGTGCCCGTTCTTGTTCGCCTACAGTCTGAATCTGCCATCTGGGCTACAGACGGGTCTTCGTTCTTGGAAAGTCGTAAGAAAAGCAAACAAGGCTCAATTTACACTGGGGAATCTTCGACATAAGAGACGCCACTGCCAGGCTTGTTGTGGTTTAAGTCAGACATCCAAAAAGGAAATATGGCCACATGGCGCCCACCGTGAGCGAATTGGTCTCGAAGGCTTGCTCCCGACTCCCACCACCGCGGTCATCTAATGACCCTCTTCATCCCGCTGGACTCCTCAGCGGACACTCCTATCTCACCGTCCTTTTTGCAGGCCTCTGCGAACCCTACTCTCCAGCTGCAGAAAGCTATCAAGGCGATTTTAAAAGCCAAGCGAATTGTAATCGTCTGCGGTCCGTTCACCGTCATCCACACTTCAATTCACCCGGAACTCATGTGAAATATCTACTATGCAGGAGCCGGAATTTCTGTGAAAGCTGGGATCCCGGATTTTAGGTCTCCAGAGGGACTTTTTCAGACTTTGAAGCGCGACAATCCCAAGGAGGTTCTAGCTTCCGGGAAGGATCTATTCGATGCCTCAGTATTCCATGTGAGTTCCTCTGGCTATTAAACCGTCGAGGAGTTCAGGCGAGGTTACTCTGGTTGAACCACCTCTGCCAACGGAACTCGTGGTTTTTATCGTTTAAAACGCGCCTGACTGGCTTTTCTTCTTGCTTTCAGTCCGAGAACACCACATCTCTCTTTTACCAGATGATCGCCCGCCTCTCCGAGCTTTCTAATGCTGCAGAACCTACGCCATTTCACAACATCCTTCGAGCTCTCGATGACAGGGGCAAACTGCTCCGGGTCTACTCGCAAAACATCGACAGCCTCGAACAAAAATGTGGTCTCTCTTTCGGTGTTCCCCAGTTTCAAGAGCGGCGCTCGAAGCCCCGTACACCGAAATCCAAGTCCAAACCGCTATCGTCCGCCGCGGTACCAGAAGCCGAAACGGTCAACACCGAGCCCGTCGCCTCCACAAGCCGCCTCCCCACGCCGCCCCCCGAAATACCCCGCTGTATCCCGCTACACGGCACCCTCCAGAACGTCCACTGTCAAATCTGCAACCACTCCTTCGCGCTCTCAGACCACCTCGCAGCGCTTGAACTCGGCACGCCCCCCGCATGCCCGGAATGCACTGCCATGGAGGAGACGCGCCAGCTCATCGGAAAGCGCGCACGGGGCGTCGGGCGCCTCCGGCCCTCGGTCGTGCTGTATAACGAGGCGCACAAGGACGGCGAAGGTGTCGGCGACGTTGTGCGCCGCGACCTGCTGGGGCTGTCAAATTCGAAGGGCAAGGGGCGCAGCGCGGGCGCGGACCTGTTGCTCGTTGTTGGGACGAGTCTGCGCGTGCCAGGCACGAAGCGCATGGTGCGTGAGTTTGCCAAGGCGGTGCGCGCACACGGGAGTGGTGGGGGATCGAATCGGCCCAGCCCGTCGCCGGCAACTGCGGCTGGGGCGGCGGAGGAGGAAAGGGATCCCCCGGTCAAGACGGTGTATCTGAACCTCGACTTTCCCGTGCCGACACGCGAATGGGAGGGCGTGTTTGATGCCTGGCTTCAGGGTGACGCGCAGGTGTTTGCGGAGATGTTGCAGGCGGAGATTGACACAGAGACTCGCGCGAAGCAGGCGGCGGGCGAGAAGCGGCGTCGAAAAGAGAAGGGCGAGGCCGACGAGGGGGTCACCGGCGGAAGCGCGGATGGGAAGAAACGCAAGGCGGCGAAGGGGGCGGGGTCGGAATCGAAGCGGCGGAAGACTGCTAATGCTACCGTGCCACTACCCCCGACTCCACCTCGTAGCAGACCAGGAGCGTCGTCGCTGTCGCCGCAGGAAAAGATCTTCCTGACCATTCCGGCACGCCCGTGCCCGTGCCCACGGCTCATCCCCGAAGTGTACATCACCTCCGTGCGGCCCTCGATCTCCCCCCGCCTGCCGCCCACGCCAGAGAACACGCCGCCGCGCCCAGCCCGCGCGCCGATCAGGGCTGCGCGCCAGAAAGTTAAGTCGAAAATCGTGAAGCGTCTGACCGCGACCTCCACCCCGACCCCGCCGTCCGAGCTTGAGTCTGCGGATGGGGACGGGGACGTACTCCCCACGTTTCACGGCCCCGACCTCGCGCCATCCCTCGAACTCGTGCGTGAAGCGCAATACGGACTGCGGACCTCGCGCTCGAGTTCTCGTTCGCGCGGATAGGTTGCTCGGTCACTGCTTGACTGTTTGCTTGCTTGGAGAGGACTCAGCTTCGATGAAGGACTGTAAATTATTGTATAAAGGGCCTATCTAGCGTACATATCTACTGTAATATACATATACACGTATATCCCAGAACAAGGCGATGGATGTCATTGGGCGACGAGGCGGCGCCATTTTGGATACCTTTTGGGCTCCCCGAAGTACACTTCAGCTAATTTGTGGAAGCCACCAATCAAAGGCCTGCAATAACCGAAAGACGTGTGTCGTTACAATTGTGTCCATAAAAATACATACAATAAACCAAATGGTAGAAACGCCGTTAATTCATACGCAATACGCGACATGCACCCGCCAAACTTTGCCGTCCCGCGAATACAGATTCACCAGCCGTAACTCGGCCACAGAGCGAACAACGATGGCTGCTGCCTTGAGCCCGTGAGGATTAAACGGAAAGTCCTGGTTAAAGTCATAAGCCCATGCTTCTTAGTTCAAAGCGAAGTGGTGAGGACCTTGAGGAAGGAGTCAAACGCAGAGGCCACCGCGTATGCGAGATTGAAGCGCGAGATCTGTCGGTGGGAGCAGTTTCCCGAGATTGACTGGACCAAGGTGCTGTACCCCTTCGCCTGTGACAGAAAAAAAGACCTATCAAAACGACGCGTCAAATACAGGGAAGAGAGCGAGTACCTCAAGCGTCAAGAAAACCTGATCCACGCCGTTATCCAGGACCGACGTGTCCGGATCCTTCAAGCACGGCCGGAAGGCGAGAATGTCTGCCATGGAGACACCGAACGCGCGTCCGGAGTAGGCGCTGGACGTCGGCTGGAACGGAATCATTTTGGTGTCGTGGATGGGCGGCAGAGGAGTCGGGATCTGTTGCGTGTGCGCATAAGGGGACTCTGAGGATATTGGGCCCCGGGCAGCCGCGGCGGCGCGGCGGTCTTCGATTTCGCGGTCCAGGGCGCAGTGCGTGCACTTCGACTCACGCACGCGCGGTCGCGCGGCTTCCCGGTCATATAAGCTGGGCGAGCCGGCGGTGCTCATGACCTAGTAGCGAGTTAGCGAGACACATGGATGAAGTGAGATGAGCACAATTGGCGGTAGTCGCTAAATTATTTGTGAGTGCATAGTAGAAAAGAAGGAGAACTAAGAACTCACGCCTGATTCCCTTGGGTCAGCATGCACTGGTCGAGACTCGGACCAGCTTTGAGGTCTCTGACGGAGATTGGTCAGAGGAAGGAATGTACAGAAGAAAGTGCATACAGAGCGGAATGGCACAGGTGACTGCGAAGGGGAAGCGTGGCTTCCCCGGCGAGTTCGTCGCTATGTTATGGGCAATCAGAAATCCACTGCTTAAAATTCCGTGGAACAAACATTTGACGATTCGCGTTCCCGTGCCTCAGCAAAGGGTACACTCCTCTGATGGGAGGTATTATTATTCTGATGGTCAAGATGTAAGTTACGAATCGGAGCAAATGGTTTGTTATTAGCAAGCGTACGCTGGTCGAATAGTTGCCCCTGGCGTGTACATTGGGAAATATAGACGGACTGCTCAGCACATCCTATGGAAAGCGTTAAAATAAAGCCACATGCAGCAGCAGCAGTACGAACCGGAAGACGAGAAGATGCTGAAGGTGCCAAAGGGCGGCGGCCAACCTGCAGAGGAGGCGGCGGAGATGCTTGTGGGTGACTCCACGACGTTGATAAGACGTTCTTATCTGGGCCAGGCTGCCAGAAAGGTTCAAAGAGCGGAAGACTCGCAAGAGCAGCACGTACAAAGCCAGGCCAGGCTGAAGGTCTGCGGACAGGGGGAGGCGAGGGCTGAGCTAGCTGCCGCTGGAGAACCTCTGCAAATAACACATTGATTGGGGGTAAGGTATGTGATTCATTGGTAGTCTGGAGGGATGAGGATACTACCAACGCATCCGACGATCAAAGACATACGTCGGAGGGTCGGGGATAGGCCATAGGTCCGAGTCCACAGAGATTCCGAAGAGACAAAGAGACAAAGGGGTCCCGATTGGCACAAAGCAAAGAGAGCCAGCCAACAAGGCGCGTGGCTATCCCTCAGAGATGGTGGTCCACACAAAGGTAGGCGGTCCAAAAAGACCCCAGATCATCATGTACCGAATCCTGATTATCATGTCGGTTGCTGAGGAAGTTGTCCGGGTTTACATTCGAAGCTAACACCGGTGGAATTAAATATCAGAGAATCACTACGATTGATACACGAGGACGACCCAGCTGACGCTGAGACAATGGCGTTAGTTACTGAGCGCAACTTGAACAATGTTGAAGAGAGAGCGAAATGTTGCCACGGTTCAAGTAGTTCCACTCGCGTCAACAAGCATTCAAACTCCGCCACTCTCCTCCTCCCACCATCTCGCGCAATTCACGCGTTTCTTACGCGTATTTCTCTCATTTGTCGCCTTTGTTACAAGCGCACGGCATTCGGACACGGTTTTCACTCGCGAAATGACGCGGACCTAAAGCGAGGCGACGTCCTATTGTCATCAGACCGTTGATATTGATCGCGAGTCAGGCTGTCTTCCTTTGGAATCGCATCTCGGGTGCGCCATAACATGCATAACACGCATCACTGAGAATATTCAACTAAGGTTCAAAGTTAGGGAATGTTCGGTCGCGAACGGATTGTGCAATTCCGAGGTAAATGAGACCAGAAGGTACGTATGTGAAGTAATTCGCCTAAGCCATATGGCCGTGTGGCAAAATGGTTACTGCGTTGCTTTCCGATTGTTACTGTTAAACGGTAACTGGTAGGCAGAGACTGTGGGTTCGAGTCCCACCATGGTCGCTCTTTTTGGCATCGTTTTGGTATGGTTGAATCATGATTGGTAAATGAACAGCTGCAATTGAATGAATTTGTTCTTTTTTGAGCAGATGGTCAGAATTAAGGATTCTTTCCATTTCTTCATGATACAACATATACAAAACTGGATTATAACAGGAGATTCCGAACAATATGGCATATGCGTCACATTTAGTTACTGCCGTGCCCTGCCCTTAACCAAAAGGACGGGAACTGTGGCTAGTTAAGCTTTCAAAATGTTGGGGTGTCGAAAGTATCGTCGTGATCTGCAATTCGTGCAATTGGTACACATGGAAATGGAATAAAGAGAAACATGGCGCACCTTTGCCATTGGCATAGATGTAGTCTTTTTCCTTCGCCGCGAGATGTTTGATATAGGACTCGTGCTTGTGCGCGCTCACCGCAACTTTGGGATTTGAGAGCGCGCCGCCGCGAATGGCAGCGGCGGCGACGTCGAAGCGCGAGGTGTGGTTGCAGAGCATCATCTGTATCCAGGTTAGCCGAGCCAGACCAACAACAAACGGCTACGGAAGAGGCGTACATCAAACGGCGACGTCGTCGTGCCCTCCTCGCGATACCTGTCCCGAATAAATCAGCTGAGCGCAATCTCAAAGGCAAGAGCACCGCGCACCCCTCAATAGACACCCTGTCGAGCTTGGGCCGCCCAAAAAGCAGGCCTTTGAGCTCGATGGTGTAGCTGTGGTAGTTGAAATGGATCGGCTTGTCCGGTGTGAAGAGCGAGTCGAACGCCTCGTCGCTGAGCGCGTGTGGGTGGGATTCGGTCGCGCTGAGGATCATCAGGTCCGTAACGTTCACGACGCGCACGCGCAGCTCGGGAACATGTTTACGGAGCAGGGCAGCGGCAGCGATGACCTCGAATGTGACTTCGACGCCGATCCCGACCAGGACGCTGGCGGATAAGGTGAGTGAGATTAGAAAAGAGTAGTACGCCGTGGTGCTCACACGTCAGGGTTAACGCCATCGTCGACACTTGCGAATTTCCAGACAGAAGCACCGGCGATGCAGTGCTGTCGCAGTGTGAGTCTCGACAGGATGTTTCAATACAGTGGGCCTATGTACCTTGTCCGCCTCCTCGGGCGATAGCCACACTGGCGTCGGCTGCTTGCTGCCCACCATGAGATTCACATAGTTCTTCGCCCGCAGACAGTGCGCCATCGTGGACAAAAAGCAGTTGGAATCGGGTGGCAGGTAGACGCGCGCAGTCGCAGGCTTGAGATTGAGGACAGCGCCGATGAAGGCCCTTCGGGAGAGTCAATGGGCATAGGCAAGATAAGAGGGGAATACACACGGATTTTGGTGAGAAAAGCCGTTGTGCTCTTGACGTGCCCAGGTAGACGTCTCGAGGTAGTTCAAAGACCCGCAATGCTGGCGCCAGGGTATCTCGGACGCCTACGTAAAGTCTTCAATTCCAGGTAAAGCAAACAGAGAACAAGGGGCCTACCATCTTGGTGAACTTGCTATACTGCACCATCATCGTTTGCACGATTCCTGTACGTGGCGAATTAACCTTGATTCAAAGCCCAAGAAACAAAATGCACCAAGGAAGGCTTCGTAGCTGGGGAACAGCCCCGTTCGGCCGGTGAGGGTGTAGCCCTGGAGCATACCCTGGCAGGTGTGCTCGGACAGAATTTCAATGATGCGGCCGCCCTTGGAACGGGACTCGCAGTCCCACTGGAAGTTGCGAGACGACTCGTCGAGCACCGCGTCTAGCTTGTTGGAAACCAGTTCATCCGGGGAGAATATCCGGAACCCATGCGGGTTTCTGGGAGAAACATCAGCTATCGCACCGAACAATGATGAATGTCAAGGCGCACTCTTTGACGACAGCTTTAAGGAGCCGCCCGACAACTTTCATACAGCTCTCCTGCGTGCCTTGCTCGGCGCAGAAATCCTCCCACTTGGGGACGTTCAGCGGCGCGTACGCGCGGAAGGCCTCCTTCTTCTGCCCCAGCCGCTGCTCTGCGGGTTCGGGAATGATGCTGAGGACCTCCGGCACGGGCACACCGTCGGGAGTGAACAGTTCTTCGGGACGGTAGGACTTGAGCCACTCCTGCAGTGCCCTGCGCTCTTCATCGGAGCTCTTTGCGCCGGGCAGGGGCACTTGGTGCGAGTGGAACGATCCCTCGATGAACTCGCCGTGGAAGGATTTTGGGCCGCCGAGGCCCTTGGACGAGCGTAGAATGAGGACGGGCCAGCGGGGCTTGACGATGGCGTTGCCGCTGCGCGCGGCCTTCTGAATTTTCTTGATCTCCGCGAGGGCCCAATCAAACGAGGCTGCGAGGTTGTTATCGATGTTTTCAACGTCCTCAATAATGCGAACTTGGTAACCGTACCCGCTGAGAAAAAAATATGAGTTAATGTGATGAGGGTGGGATGAGATTTCCATACCTGAAGAGCGCGGTGATCTCCTTGTCATCCATCGTACCGTAGATGGTCCGTTCGGAGATCTTGAAGCCATTGACATGCACAATTGGCAGGACTGCACCGGACTCTGCTGGATCGATGTACTTGAAGCCATGCCACGCCGTAGCAGTCGGCCCTGTTTCCGCCTCACCATCCCCTACCTAAGATATTTGTTAGCGTAACGATGATATCAATCATATCTTCGTACCACACACGCTACAACGAGGTCTGGGTTATCCATGACGGCACCGAAAGACACGCTGAGAGCGTAGCCGAGTTCTCCGCCTTCGTGGATGGCACCGGGTGTGCCCGCGTTAATGTGACTGTACCAGCGTCAAATCTACCGCTTCGCGTACAAGTTGAGTAAATCTAACCTCGGAAAGCCACCTGGGACACTAAAACTTGCGACGAGTTTCTCGAGACCCTTGCGGTCGCGAGTCATTTGAGGATAGAATGCGGAGAGCGAGTCCTCGATCCACAGGGAGGATAGGATGGCGGGAGCGCCGTGGCCTGAGAAAGTTAGCAACACGGGTTAAGACACAATGAGCACACTGACCTGGCCCGACGACATACAACGCATCGAGATCCGTCTTACGGATGAGCCTGTTAAGGTGTGCGTATACCATGACAAGGCCAGGGCATGTTCCCCAATGGCCCAGTAACCTTGCCTTGATGTCGTCTGGAGTAATGTCGCGCTCGACGAGCACGTTGTGGTTGAGGAATATCATAGCTGCTGCGATATAATCGGCAGTCCGACGAAAGAGCTTCAGACTTTTGAGCTCATTGTCCGAGAGGTAATTCTTAGTGTCCAGCTGGACACCTAGCTCGAGGACAGAATCAGGTAAGAGAGACGAGTCCGCCGGTGGATTAGCCTGTAGAAGGATCTGGCCTGGCATTGCAACAGCTGAGAGGTAGCCGCAGTGTTGGCGATTTGCATTCTTCAAGTTGTTTTATACCAAAGCGCGTCATGACGCGTCAAATATAGACCATTTCCAGTCTCCTGTGGTGCAGCCAATGACGAGTTCGAATTCCGGTATGATAGTTCGAGTGGATCACTGCACCGGGACCTTCCGGACCTCTCTTGTTTCTTCTCAACTGACCCGTATTGAGCCCGCCTCTAGCTCGTTCTAGCTCCTTTTCGAACCTTTCAAAAACCCTTGTCCTTACAAGAAAATGAACCCATCCTCAGTGTCGCCGGCTTGACTTTGAGGCATATCTATTCTTGCCGTCAGCAGTGACGCAGACCAGAAATAAAATTGGCATCAGACTGTCCCATGTGGCTTTAGACGTCATCAAGGCGCGCCCTTTAGAATGCTCGACGCGTCCTTGGTTTCTGCAATATCGAATGTCGACCAGAAATCTCGTGCTGTCTGTTAATGCTGGGTCCTCCTCCCTCAAAATATCTCTGTATGGCACCCAGCGCGGCGGCGGCGATGAACTCGAGCCAGTGCAACTGATACTCACGTCTTCGATTTCCAATATCTCTGCTCCGCCAGCCAAATTCTCTTTCAAGGTTTCCAATGGCACCAGCAAAGATGAGCAGCTGTCGTCGGTCCATGACCACGCCTCAGCGTTCGCGCATTTTATCGACTGCCTTGCCCATGAAGCAGATATCGATCGTGCTCGAATCACTCATGCATGCCATCGCGTTGTTCACGGCGGTGATTATACCGACCCAGTACTGATCAACGACGAGGCGTACAAGCACATCGAACGACTCTCGGATCTCGCACCTCTGTACGCCCCCCTCCAAGCTGATAGTAAATTAACCATTATTTATGTCCCACAAAGCCATAACGGCTCTTCTCTCCCCGTCATCAAGACTTGTCTTTCGCAACTCCCAGACGCCAAATCAATCGCATTTTTTGACTCGGCATTCCACCGCTCGATCCCAGCCCATATATCCAGCTATGCTATCGACCAGAAGATCGCGAAACAGCGTGGCTTGAAGAAGTATGGCTTTCACGGGCTGAGCTGTAATTATATATTATCCTATCCCGCCTCTCGGCTGACCTTTCATTTTAGACTCTTTCATCCTTCGATCGGTCTCCCGCTTTCTGCAAAAGGTTCTACCGGTTAATTCCAAGTGCTTACCCCGCTAATCCCCACGCAGCCGGCCGAATCTCTCAATCTCATAGTTTTACACCTCGGTTCCGGCGCGTCAGCGTGCTGCATCCAGCACGGCCAGTCCCTCGACACCTCCATGGGCCTCACCCCGCTCACCGGCCTCCCCGGCGCCACCCGCTCCGGCGCAGTCGACCCCTCGCTCATCTTCCACTACACCAACAAGGCCGGGCGCATGTCGCACGACGAGGGCAGCGCCGTGCAGCTGCACGTCACACAGGCGGAGCACATTCTCAACACGGAGGCGGGGTGGAATGCCCTCGCGGGCACGACGGACTTCGCCGCCATCACGGCGCAGAGGACGGACGACGACGCGGCGCGGCTAGCGTTTGAGCTGTTCGCAGACCGGGTCCTCAATTATGTGGGATCGTACCACTTGAAGCTGGGCGGCGCGGTGGACGCGTTGGTGTTCTCTGGTGGGATTGGGGAGCGGAGCA